TCTATTGTTCCAATTTTTAAAAAACCCCAAGGCCTAACACTGCTTCAGTTATTGGCTTGAAGCCAACTGTTCAGCACCTGTCTCAACCTCTCCAAAAAACCAGGACAAAATACATGTCTTAAAGCTATGGTATCATCACATCTCCCCCTTAAAAAATGAACTATTAATGTACAAAGATGGCTTCGTTTTTAAAAACCTTTAGTCTTACACTATTGGTACATTACATAGTCATTACATTGTTTACACGCTTAGAGTCATCCACTACCACAGTCCATTTTAGTTTGTTTTTGCCCCTGCCACCGAACACTTTTGTCTTCCTTCAAAGTCGTGATAATGTGTCGGCAATTATATTCTCTCTCCCTGCCATGTGTACAATTTTCTAATTGAATGGCTGCTATAATAAGCTCTATCTAAACAGTCTGGAATTCTTATTACTAATTTTTTCTAAAAACTTTAAGAGATTATGATCAGTATATACAATCATCTCAGAAGCATTACACTCAATATTAATGTTGAAATGTGTTAATGCCAACACCAAACTCAAGGTCTCCTTCTCAACTGTAGAATATTTCAATTGATGATTATTAATTTTTCTGGAAAAATACCCAATTGGTTTTTCTATCTTCTTGCAAGTTGACAGCACCGACACCCACATCCTTTGCATCAATAGCCATCTTGAATGGCTTTGCATAATTAAGTGTGGTTAACAGTGTGGCAGTGGTTGACAGCTTTCAGGTTGTCAAATTCCTTCTGACATTCCTCCGTCCATTGAAATTTTCTGCACTTCACGTCAGTGGAGCAACCACACTGCTAAAATTTGGCATGAGCTTCTGATAAAAACCACTCAGTCCCAGGAATTGTTGTACTTCCCTCCTCAATGTTCTGGGAAACTCCCCAATAACCTTTGTTTTCACATTCTGTGGGGTCATTTTTCCATGTTCAATGACATGGCCCAGGAATGTGACTTGGACTTTTGCAAACTCATCAAGCCCACCTCCTGAAATCAATCAAATAATTCCAATAGATGCTCCTTCCATGTGACTAAAAATCACCAGGTCATTGATGTATGGCACACAATTGGGTAATCCTGAAATGACTTTCTTGGTTCATATTTGAAATGTGGCTTGAGCATTTTTCATACCAAATGGCATGACTTTAAACTGACTGGTACAGTTCATTTGGTGTCACAAAAGCTGACATTTCCTTCACTCTCAAATTAAAAGTACCTGCCAATATCCTCTGAGTAAGTTCAACTTAGACAAACAAGTTGCTTGTCCAACCTTCTGAATATAGTCTTCCAAACATGGAATGGGATATGAATCAGATTTTGTAACAAAATTGACTTTGCGATTGTACCCAATGGTGGTCTATGTGGTTTTGGCAGCACTACTATGGGTGAGCTCCATTTGCTGCAAATCACTTTGATTATATTGTCTTTGAGAGGGCTTTTAATCTCTTTTTGAACCAGTGCCATCTTGAGGGTTAAGTCTATAAGGATGTTGTTTAATTGGAATAGCATTTCCTATATCTATATCATGCATAATCAAATTAGTACTTCTCAGCTTATTCCCACATATCCCTATGTGATTGTAATAACTCTTTTAAGTCATTTTGATTTTCCTCTGGAGGGTAATCCAATAGTTTATCCCAATTTGAGAACTTGCTCATTGTCCAATTTAATTTGAGGAATGTCAAATTTGGAATCACCTAAACTTGTTGCTTCAATGTTTTAACCAGTAATACATTCTTCTTTTTCTTTCCTTCCCTATCAAAATATCATTTGAGCATATTCACATGATAGATTTCTTTTTATCTGGCATTCCTATTAAGTAGTTCACCTCACTCAATTTCTTTTCAATTGGATAAGGCCCACTAAAACTTGCCTTTAAAGGTTCACCTACCATTGGTAGTAACACCAACTAGCAAAATATCTCCACGAGCAAAATTGTGAATTTTTGATTTCTTGTCTGCTTCCTGCTTCACCTCATGTGCTACTTTTAAATGCTGCCTAGCCAACTCACCTCCTCTGTTTAATCTCTCTCTGAAAGTTGACAGTCCATGTATAGTCTCTGACTCACCAATTTCTCCTTAATTTGTGGTCCTGTCACCTCATGCCCAAAACCTAATCCAAATGGACTGAATTTAGTTGATTCATTAAGTGCATCCCTAATTGCAAAAAGTGCAAAAAGTCTATCGTCTGGATGGACTTGACTATAAACTCTCAACATAGTCTTTAAAGTTTGACGCCACCTTCCTAATGCTCCTTGTGATTCTGGATGATATGCAGTGGACTTAAATTGTTTTATTCCACAGCTACCCATAACTTCCTTGAATAACTGATGCAAAATTTGATCCTTTTTCTGATTGCATTTCTGTGGGTAGTCCATATCGAGTAAAAAAAATTGAGTAACTCTTCTACAATCCTTTCGGCCATGATACTGTGCAATAGAATGACCTCTGGAAATCTAATAGACACATCCATTATAGTCAACAAATACTGACTCTTATGTTTTGTTTTAGGGAGCAGTCTTATGCAACCAATTAAGACTCTCCGAACTTGGGATTAGTGATTTTGATCTCAACAAGAGCTCCCCTCCACCACCCAATTTGTTATGCACCAAACAAAACCCCATCAAAACACATCAAGCATAGATCCTAACGTTTTCTTATTTTAAAGGCAAGTGCCAAGTGTTATGTTCCAGATGCAATTCGAATGGTCAAATTACTAGGCTTGAAACAAAACAAACTTTATTCTTACACTATAATTAAAATACACACAAAATAAAAAGAAAAGAATTGGCTTAACTAACTATCTAATTAACTGTTCCAATATAATAACTTCCCATAAGCATAACCTTAGTAAAGGCAAAGACTGTAAAACAGATTGTCTCATGCAATTTTGACAGCAGGAAGAGAATCCCAGAAAGATAGGAAAAAGCCTGCACATCCAGATTCAAGATCCCAGCAACTGCTCCTGAAAGCTAAACTAAAAGTCCTAGTTCTGTGGGAGCTTGACCTCGTCCACTCAGGCTGTTTCTAATATTCCAACTTTTAAAAGCCTCAAGCCATTTATTTTATTGGCTTGAAGCAGACCATTGTCTCAACTTCTTCATAAAACAACCAAGACAATCTGCAATCCAACCCCACCAGCAAAGACATCTTTCCCTCCCCACCCTTATCTGCTTTCCGGAGGGACCACTCTCTCCGTGACTCCCTTGTCCGCTCCACACTCCTCTCCAGCCCCACCACACCCGGCACTTTTCCCTGCAACCGCAGGAAGTGCTACACCTGCCCCCATACCTCCTCCCTCACCCCCATCCCAGGCCCCAAGAAGACTTTCCACATCAAGCAGATGTTCACCTGCATATCTGCCAATGTGGTATACTGCATCCGCTGTACCCGTTGTGGCCTCCTCTACATCGGGGAAACCAAGCGGAGGCTCGGGGACCACTTTGCAGAGCTCCTACGCTCGGTTCGCAATAAACAACTGCACCTGCCAGTCGTGAACCATTTCAACTCCCCCTCCCATTCCTCAGATGATATGTCCATCCTGGGCCTCCTGCAGTGCCACAACGATGCCACCCGAAGGTTGCAGGAAGCCTGCAGCCCAATGGTATCAATGTGGATTTCACAAGCTTCAAAATCTCCCCTCCCCCCACCGCATCCCAAAACCAGCCCAGCTCGTCCCTGCCTCTCTAACCTGTTCTTCCTCCCACCTATCCCCTCCTCCCACCTCAAGCCGCACCCCCATCTCCTACCTACTAACCTCATCCCGCCCCCTTGACCTGTCCGTCCTCCCTGGACTGACCTATCCCCTCCCTAACTCCCCACCTACACTCACCTTTACTGGCTCCATCCCCGCCTCTTCGACCTGTCTGTTTCCTCTCCACCTATCTTCTCCTCTATCCATCTTCTATCCACCTCCCCCTCTCTCCCTATTTATTTCAGAACCCCCTTCCCCTCCCCCATTTCTGATGAAGGGTCTAGGCCCGAAACGTCAGCCTTTTTGCTCCTATGATGCTGCTTGGCCTGCTGTGTTCATCCAGCTCTGCACCTTGTTGTCTCAAGACAATATATACCTCTTAAAGAGATAATATTGTCATATTGCAGGGTTGTTGAAATGTTAGAAAGTTTACTAGGGTAATTCCTGGAACAAGCAGATTGCTTTGTGACTCTAGTCTCAAAGCAATATGCTTGACTCTTAATTAGAGAGGGGCAATAAATACTGACCTAGCCAACAACTTCCTCACCCTATGAGTAAATAAAAAATACCCTGACAGAGTGCAGCAAATGATTTTAGGAAACTAGAGCACCTGGCCAAAACCCATGGAGGCACAGGGAGAACATGCAAACTTCACACAGTCATTCATGGCTGTAATTGAACCTGGATGTCTGATGTTGTGAGGCTGCAGTGCCAACCACTGAGCCACTATCCTTTGGCTGTACCAAAGGATAGAGTAGATAAGTAGAATGATGTTAGGTGGCTCATGTAGGGAAAACCTAAGTGCATATGGGTCAACATATGCGTCAAAACACCTTGTCTTGCTTTTGATAGATGTCTGTCACTACCAACATAGTTGTAATGGAACCAAATTTTTGTAAAAATGATGGTGGCAAGCCTGCATCTAATGATTCATATCTTGAAGCATGGGTACTGGTTGTTATCCTCCCTGTAATATTTACTTTCAGGTTAATATTTTAGTCGTTTCAAAAGTTGTTTTTCAAATTTGATAATGTCTGAATGCAGATTTATCATAATCCTCTGGTTGTTTTCAGTGTCACAGTGACTGAAATCGTCTGGAGTTATTGGTAACCTAAGATACTTTAATCCCTTAAAATATGGGAGTTGGAGAAATTGAGCAGTTGTTAAATGGCTTATCCACCAAATCGGTTCTTGATCAGGATTTGGCTGAGAGGCTAATTGCGTCAGTCGAGCTCATGTTTATGCTGTGCTTAATCCAATGCATCAGGTACAGGTGCATATAACAAGTAACAGTTGGTATAAATACAGCGAGATCCAGCTGCAACGGTTTACAAAGGTGGACAGCAGCAAAGATAGACAGACCAGCAAAGCATCATAACCGGCTGCATCAGGTTGCCATCAAATTACAGAACAATGGTGAGTTGCACATGATATTTCATCTTATAGTTTATTTCTTTAGAATCATAGAATCCTGACAGTGTGGAAGCAGGCCCATTGAATCCACAACAACCCTCTAAAGAGTGTCCCACCCAGACCCACCCCCCTGTACCCTTTCTATGTAACCCTACATTTCCCATGGCCAATCCACCTAACCTGCACATCTTTGGTCTGTGGGAGGAAACCGCAGCACCTGGAGGAAACCTGTACAGACATGAGGACTATGTGCAAACTCCAAACTGACATTCGCCAGAGGGTAGATTGAACCTGGGTTCCTGCTGCTGTGAGGCAGCAGTGCTAACCATTGAGCCACTGTGCTGCCCCAGATCTTACCCTTGGTAAGCTGATTTCATTTCACGTTAAAGTATCACAATGTTAATATCACTTCTACCTCTGTCAAATGTGTGTGGGTCCAAACCCCTCAACAAATTTCATCAGAAATTAACTCAGACAACATCCACTGCACTACCCTCATTCAGGTATTTAAGGAAGTGACAAGGAGGATCAAATTTGTAAGGTATGACCTTCCCTTAAAGTCACACTGACTATCCCCAGCTTGTCCATGCCTCTGTAAATTAGTTATCTGATCTCAGGATTGATTCCAACAATTTGCCCACCAAAGAAAGATGAACTGGCCTATAATTGTTTGGCATTTCCTTGGTACCATTTTAAAATAATTGAACCACATTGGTCATCCTGCAGTCTTTTGACACCTCACCTGTGTCTAATGAGGATTGAAAAATAAATGTCAGAGTATTTGCCATTTCCTCCATGCTGCTTCAACATAAGGAGTATTAAAGGTAAGGCAGATGAGCTTAAGGCCTGGATCAGTACATGGGACTATGATGTTGTGGCCATTACAGAGACTTGGTTGAGAGAGGGCCAGGACTGGCTGCTCAACGTTCCAAGGTTTTGTTGTTTTAGACAAGACAGAGAGAGAGGTAAAAGAAGTGGAGGAGTTGCTTATTAATCAGGGAGAATGTTACATCTGCACTCAGAGAGGACATACCGGAGAGCTTATCCACTCAGGCAATATGGGTACAGCTCAAAAATAAGATGGGTGCAGTCACTTTGAAAGGATAAACTATAGGCTGCCCAACAAGCACTGAGACATTGAGGAACAAATATGTAGGCAGATTATGGAATGATGCAATAGAAACAGAGTTTCATAGTGGGTGACTTTAATTTCCCCAATATTGACTGGGCCTCCCTTGAAGCAAGAAGTTTAGATGGGGCAGAATTTGTTCAGTGCTTTCTTGAAACAGTATGTGGATAGTCCAACTAGAGAAGGAACCTTACTGGACCTTATACTGGCTAATGAACTTGGCCAGTTGACTGGCCTTTCAGTGGGATGGCATTTTGGAAACAGTGATCATAACTCCTTGAGTTTTAAGATAGCTATGAATAAGGATAAGTCAGGACCTTGTGGCATGCTTCTAAATTGGGGGAAGGCAAATTACATCAGTTTTGGGCAGGAGCTGGGAGTGTTAATTGGGAGGAGCTGTTACCAGACAAGTCCACTTTTGAAGTGTGGGAATTGTTTAAAGATCTGCTGATGAAACTTCAGGACCGGCATGTTCCAGTAAGGAGGAAGGGCAAGGTAAGGGGCCCTTGGATATCAAGGGAGGTTATGAATTTAGTCAAAAGGAGAAAAGAAGCATATTTCAGACTTAGGAAGTTAAAATTGGACAGGGCCAATGAGAAATATAAAGAAAGCAGGAAAAAACTCAAGCAGGGAATTAGAAATGACTTTGGCAAGTAGGGTTAAAGAGAATCCCAAGGCATTCTATACATATATTAAAAACATGTGCTTGGAGGTAAAAGATGTGAGTGAAATCCTAAATGAGTACTTTGCATCAGTATTCACCAAGGAGAAGGATATGGAGGATAGCGAGATTTGTGTGGAGCATGCTAATATGCTAGCACATTTTGAGTTCAGGAAAGAAGTGCTGTTCGGTCTCTTGAAAAGTATTAAGGTGGATAAATGCCCAGGGCTCGATGGTATCTACTCCAGGTTGTTGAGAGAGGCAAGAGAGGAGATTCCTGGGGCCTTGACCAAGATCTTTACCTCCTCATTAGCCACTGGAGAGATCCCGGAAGATTGGCAAGTAGCTAATGTTGTTCCTCTATTCAAGAAGGGAAATAGTGATAATCTAGTAAACTATAGACTGATGAGTCTTACATCGATTTTGGGAAGCTATTGGAGCAAATTCTGCAGAATAGGATTTATGCATATTTCGAAAAGCATGGCCTAATTAGGAGCAGTCAGTATGGCTTTGTGCGGGCAAGGCCATGTCTTACTAATTTGATTGAATTTTTTGAGGTAGAGATAAAGGTGATCGATGAGGATAGAGCAGTGGATGTTGTCTGTGTGGATTTTAGTAAGGCTTTCGACAAGATCCCTCAAGGTAGGCTCATCCAGAAGATTAAGATGCGTGGGATCCACAGTGACTTGGCTGTGTGGGTTCAGAATTGGCTTGCCCATAGAAGGCAGAGGATAATGATGGAAGATTGTTTTTCAGGTTGGAGGTCCATGGTTGTGGTGTTCTGCAGGAATCCATACTGGGACCTGATAAAAATGTAGATGGGTGGATTAGTAAGTTTGCAGATGATACAAAGATCAGTGGAGTTGTGGATAGTGTAGAAGGTTGTCAAAGGATATAGTTGGATATACTTCAGTTGCAGGGTGGTGAATGTCTGGAACAGGCTTTCCTTTCTCAAGTTGAGAAGTTGAAGTCTGAATCTTTTGGTTTGCTGTTGTTAAACTAAAGCAAGTTATGTGTTCAGGGTTATAGCAGTGAAATCTAGGTGGTCGAGGGGAAGGAAAGGTTATGGCAAAGGCAGCTGTATAGACGGTTTCTTAAACATAAATGGCTCAGTATATGTTAGATTGATTTGAACATGTAACAACTGTAGTAATTATGCTTAATGGTTGTTTTTTTTTCTCAGCCTGTGTGCAGAATGGCTCGTTACATGAAGTGTGGAGGACTGGCTTTGGTTGTCCTATTTGTGGTAGAGCAGGGTGTGCAATCTTTCCCTGAAGTGGAGGCTGCAGCACCAGGTGAATATTCCACTGACATGACTAGCATGTGATTGAGATTAAGTCATTCTTGAAGAAATGATATGGTGCAGTTTGGGGTTATTTTAAATTTAGCATTGTATAATGAGAAATAGCTAACCAATAAACTTGTAAAGGAGCCTTTGAGAAATAGTGATCATAATACGATGAAAGTCTGTATAAAATTTGAATGAGATATAATTTATTCTGAAACAAAGATTTTAGATCTGAAGAAGGAAAATTGTGAAGACAAGAGGGGCAAGTTGACTGTGGTGGATTGGGAAAAAGGTTTGAAAGATTTGATAGTGGATAGGGAATGGCTAATATTTAAAGAAATATTACACAGTTTACAACAGATATACATTCGTGTAAGACACAAATAACCAAAGGGGTTGGTAAACCAACTGTGATTAACAGAATAAGGTAAAGAATGCATTACATCAAAGGAAGTATCTTGTAGGGATTTCAAACCCGGCAAAAGAGGGTCAAAAAACCATATGAAAGAAGAAGAAGAGAAAGAATACAAGCTTGCAAGGAACAAAAAAGTGGACTTTGCAAACTTCTTTATGTCTGTGAAAAGAAAGAGATTAGCTAGGACAAATGAGTGTGTTACAGGTGGGACCAGAGTATTTAAAGTAGAGATAAGGAAATGGCAAAGAAGTTAACAATTACTTAGTGGGACAACAAGGTGCAGGGCTGGATGAACACAGCAGGCCAAGCAGCATCA